ACTTTCTGCCTCTAGGAACCTGACTCCTCTGGGTGCCTTGTGTAAGTGGAATCAAATATTAGTTGTCTTTTGGGGACTGGCTCATTTCACTCAGCACAATGTCCCTAAGGTTGTAGCACGGGCCACAGTGTCCTTCCTTTTGAAAGCCGAAGGCTGTTCTGCCATGTGGATCTCATGCGTCTTCTTTATCCATCACCCGTCGGCGGACACGGGCTGCTTCCACTTCCTGACCATTGTGAGTGACGCTGCTGTGAACATGGGTGTGCAAATATCTCTTCCAGGCCCTGCTTTCCATTCTTTTGGGTATATACCCAGAAGTGGGATTGCTGAATCATCTCATACATATTTTTAAACGGGCACGTGGGAGCACAGGGAAGGCTCTCAGACATAAACAAATCGTTATTAACTTTGTCCTGGTCAAGGAAAAATTCCATCAAAAAACAGTTTGTTTTGGGCTTCCCTGGTGGCGCAGTGGTTGGGAGTCTGCCTGCCGATGCAGGGGACACAGGTTCGTGCCCCGGTCTGGGAAGATCCCACATGCCGCGGAGCGGCTGGGCCTGTGAGCCATGGCCGCTGAGCCTGCGCGTCCGGAGCCTGTGCTCCGCAACGGGAGAGGCCACAGCAGTGAGAGGCCTGCGTACCGCAAAAAAAAAAAAAAAAAAAAAAAAACAGTTTGTTTTAAGTACGGATGTGCAGGAGGCCCATACTGGCAATTCACTCTAAAGCTCTGTGGAGACCACAGTCTGGGGCAGGTGAGCTCCCCTGTGGGTGCGGATTTAGGAGAATGGGGATGGAGGCCGGAGAGAGTTTGGTCAAGGTTGTGGAGCGGGTGAAGCTGGGCTGAGGACAGGCCCTGCGGCGGCAGCAGTGAGCAGAGCATCAGCCCGGGCTGGGAGCTCGGGGGCGGGTGGCCCAAGCCTGCGTCCTCAGTGGCTTTGTCAGACCCCGTCCATTCCAGCCAGGGCTCCCGTGCTCAGACAACGGCAGGAAACAACTGGCACCTCAGAATGGTAATTCAAGGAGTGTCTAATAAAGGGACGCTTGTAAAATGTGGGCAGAGTGTGGGGAACCGCTGTACTTACGGCGAGTACCAGAGGAACTGTCACCATCCCCAGGCCTGAAGGACGGAGGGTGGGAGCGGTCACTGCCGCCTGGAAACGGCTGGGGAGGGGGCTCCCTCCGGGGAGGCGTGACCGTGGTTTGAGGGCCTCGGCCAGCGTGTCCCGAACTAGAGACCCCTCCTGGGGCTCCCGACTGTCAGAACCCTGGGGGCAGCGGAGGAGACCGGGAGCCCACAGCGGCTGGGGGGCGCTGCAGGGCACAGGCTGGAGAAGACGAGGACCCACGGGGGCAGACGAAAGACTCCAGGGGCAGCAGGGCGAGAGGAGGCCCCGCTTTTCATGCTGAGTTGAAGGCATGTTCAGCTGGGCCGTGCCCACTCCAGGCCCCTCTGCCCCTGCAGACCCTGGTCTCCAGCGTGGCGAGCTGCTGCTGCATGGGGAGGGGGCACTTGGACTCTAAACCTCCGGCAAGTCCAGGGGCGTGCAAGCCGGGAGACGGGGGCGGCTACCTTGGCAGGAAACCCTGAGCCTCAGCATATTCTTTTGAACATAATAACCGCATTTTATCTGCATTCTATATCCCTTCAAAAATATTTATTTTTAGTTTGGCTTTCTTGCTTATTCTGCGCAATTCCAACAGCTTGTGGCCGAGGCGCTGTGGTCCCTGGAGACATGATGGGCCCTCCCTTCTCCGAGCCCTCACTCCTCCACCCCTGGTGATCCTGCCGGGGCGGTGGAGCCCTGTCGTTGGTCTGTGGATTATAGTCAGGGGCGCGCTCCGCAGCCCCCAGGGCCCCTGTGCTGCAAGGGCTCTGAGCCCGGATCGCTTCCTTGGGTTGTCAGATGTGAGATGGGCGTCTTGTGCTGGAGAAGGGGCTTGTGCGGGGGAGAGCCTTGATCGATGCAAGGACCCCCGCCAGCTTGGCCAGTCCCCTGAGGGGGCGGAGGGTCAGCCTGGCCCAGCTTCGGGGATGAGTTTTTTTACATTGAAAAACTTCTTTTTATTATCACCTCTTTTCTTCAAGTCTGTTTATATTTTTGTTGATTTGCAATCAGTGTATATATCCGTTTTTTTACTTCTACGTATCAGAAAAGCTGTCCCACTCTCACAGTCTTGGTTAATGACTGCAGTTTCACTGAGTCTAGGTGCCACGGTTGGATTTTCAGTGTTTTTCTTGGCCTGGTTGACGGGTTCACATGACGCTCTGCCTTCCTGCTGTCAGATGCTGCTGAGATGGGACGGAAGGAGCTGGAATGGGAGTGACACCCTGAGGGAGCCTCTCCTGGCCTTGGTTAGCACTGGGGACTCCTCATGGTGCTGAGCCCTCCCGACCCCTCCTGATGGCTGATCTGGTCTCGGGGAAAGCTCGTTGAGAATCCTCAAATATTTTATAAACATTTTGGGATTGGCAAAAAGCTGGGCTGTGTTTTGCCAAACACATTTGCCCTCGACTTTTTGTTTGTTTGTTTGTTTGCGGTACGCGGGCCTCTCACTGTCGTGGCCTCTCCCGTTGCGGAGCACAGGCTCCAGACGTGCAGGCTCAGCAGCCATGGCTCACGGGCCCAGCCGCTCTGCGGCATGTGGGATCTTCCTGGACCGGGGCTCGAACCCGTGTCCCCTGCATCGGCAGGCGGACTCTCAACCACTGCGCCATCAGGGAAGCCCTGCCCTCGACTTTTAAACTGATGCGCACTTTGAGGGAAACAGTCTGCAGCCTCTTCCCGTGTTTACTTAATTTACGCAAATGTTGTTTTCCTAGAGGCCTGGTATGTGCTATCCAAGAAGACGGGAAAACGTTTCTTTCTTACTTTAAAAAAAAATTCTGTTTCTTAGAACTCAGGAAGTTGGGTTCTTCCAAGAGAAACTAAGCTTGACCCCAGGGCCAAAAAAAAAAAAAAGTAAGTGTGAATCAGCTTGAAACTACCCAGGAGATTCTAAATCCCTGTCTACAAGATACCAGACATCTAGATGAAATTTTAAAATCTGATCGAAATCCTTAAAGTAATAAATATGACGCTCCCATGCGTTATTATTTGAATTCATCAGTCTCCTCGTCTGTGAAATGGCTCTTGGGTCTAACATTCCTTTGCTTCCGTTGATTTTCTGGTCCCTGAATTCTTCTCCAGTAGAGTCAGCTTCAGTTTGCTGTTGGAAGTGCTTATATCTGAGATGGAAACACTTTTACCTGAAAAACAGGCCCTACTGTGTCCAAGGATGGAGGATTCCTGGGCTGCTTAATCACGGTCGAGTGGTAAACATTGACCCCACAGCCAGGGTGAGAGTCAAAAGATCTGACAACTGCCCCGTTAAGAGGATGACCAGGTGCACTTGGCCGAGACCCCAGACTGCGGGGCCCTCCCTCCGTCCCAGACCTCCGCCCGCACTGTGTCTACTTAATCCACCCTTTCTGCCAAATGCCTGAATTCTGGCCCCAGGGGCCCCTCCTGCTTTGCTGTGTGCTAGCTTCTCTCCCAGATGCTCTTCCTCTTCTCCCGACAGACACGGGTACTGCGTAGACCCTTCCTTGCCTGCCACACCCAGGCTTCTGCTCTGTCGACCCTCGTCACGCTGTGTCCCAGCACGTATCAAGCTCGACTGACTGTCCCTCCTTCTGGGCTGGCTGCTCTGTTTGAAGGCAGGGAATGTGTTTTAATTATGTCTGTTTCTGTATTTGTGTCCGGCAGCCGCTGTGACCGATGATCACACTGGGTTTCCTTAAAACAAGTTTATTCCGGCACAAGTCTGGAGGCCAGAGGTCCAAAATCAGTGTCACTGGGATGAAATCAAGGGGTTGGCAGGGCTGGGTTCCTTCTGCAACCTGTAGGGGAGAATGCCGTTGCCTTTCCAGCTTCTGATGGCTGCTGCACCCCTTGGCTTGTGGCCGCATCACTTCCATCTTCAGGGCCAGCACCTGCAAATCTCTGCTCTCTCTTCATGGTGCCTTCTCTGTGTCCTCAGATCTCCCTCTGCCTCCTCTATGTGTGTATTTATTTATTTATTTATTTATTTGGCTGTGCCAGGTCTTAGGTGTGGCATGAGGGATCTTTAGTTGCGGCATGCGGGATCTTTAGTTGCAGCATGTGGGCTCTTAGTTGCGACATGCAGGATCCAGTTCCCTGACCAGGGGTCGAACCTGGGCCCCCTGCACTGGGAACATGGAGTCTTAACCGCTGGACCACCAGGGAAGTCCCTCTGCCTCCTTCTTATAAGGATGCTTGTGATGGTGTGTAGGGCCCACCCTGATATCCAGGACAATCTCCCCGTCTCAAGATCCTTAATTAATTGCATCTATAAATGTGTCTTCTTCCAAGAAAGGTAACATTTCTAGGTTCCAGCAATTAGGACCTGCTCTCTTCGGGGCCAGAATTCTGCCTACCACAGTGTCTGTCCCCAAATGTAAGAACAGCTCACGCCTCGCGTTTACACAGCCAGCACAGGAACACCGTGAGATAGGCATTGTCACTCTCCCCATTTCAGGTGAGGAAATCGAGGCACAGAGAGGTGAAATAAGTTGCCCATGGGCAGCCAGTAGCAGCACCAGGCTTCTAGCCCAGGCATTCTGGTTCCGAAGACCATGCCCTTGGCCTCTGTACTTCCTGCCTGTGTAACATGGGGTTTGTTGAATGACTGGGTGAATACAAACAGCTGAAAAGTTTGAAGACGACTAAAAGGAGATGACTAAGAAGGGGGAGGGAAGGAGAGGAGGGAGGAAGGATTCCAGGGCAGGCTAATTGCCCCCTGAATTGCTCCTGGCCCCCACGATTCCTGAGATTCTCCCAGACTTAAAGCATCATTTCAACACGCTAGTCACTACTGGACTTGCTGCAAACACTCGCCACCCCCTGCTTTCTTCCCTTCCTCCCCATCTCAAACATTCTCAAAGAAAAACGGGAGCTGGCATGCCCTGCTGTGCTCACGTCTCCCGCGCTCATCTGCAGGGCACGAAAGCTATGTGACCTTCTGCCAGCTGGAGGACGAAGCCGCCTTCACGTGCAGTGCTGACTGCACCATCAGGAAGTGGGACGTGCTGACCGGGCAGTGTCTGCAGGTGTTCCGGGGACACACGTCCATTGTGAACAGGTCGGTGTGCCTGCCAGGCGGGGAGGACTGGGCCTCTCCTCATGGTACCCGGCCGAGTCCCAGGGGACAGAGATGTAGGCTGTGGGGCCCCTGCCCTGGAGGAACTTAGCTTCCCTGGGGAACACGTGTGGACATGCGGGGAGGTGGTCTGGAGCAACAGCAGTGGAAGGACAGCAGTGTCCCCAGCGCAGCAAGCGCTAACTGCCCAGGGCTGCAGGCTGGGGGGCTGGGAGGCGGAGGTGGGGCAGGGAGGCACCACCAACACTTAGACCAGAGCCTGAAAGCCCTCCCATGGCCCTGGCAGGACAGCTGCCCCCAGCTGGGTGCAGGGAAAGGGGTTGGAGGCTACAGCTCCCACCGAGGGAACAAATTCCACAGGAAATGGCTTAATTGGTACCTGATGGTGGACTGTGGGCTCGGAGGAGGGGCAGAATGGGGATTGTTCTGAAGAGGGAGTCAAGGGTGTTTTTAAACCTCTCCTTTCCCTGTTGCTGTTGAAGATACCCCAGACCCTCCTTCTCATGGAGGTTTGAATTTTTGCAAAATGTATTGAGTTTGGGTCTGAGCTGAGCCATGGAAATTCCTTGGTGATCAGATCAATTGGACACTATCTCTGCAACTTGGGGCCCGTCGCAAACTCCTGAGGGAGTGCCCGGTATGAGCAGGCGTCTGGGCACCGGGGCCCTCGTGACCTCACTGGCCAGGAAGGGCAGCTGCCCGGGCAGCAAACTAAGCAGGGAAAGGGCCCAGTGCAGGCGGGCGTTGGCGGGGTAGGGGGCAGGGACGGAAGGATGTTCTCAGCCAGAGGGGATACTGGCAGTGTGAGCTTTGTGGAGCCTGGGTCCAGGTGGGACCCGTCCGGCCTAATGTTCCAGCACACGGTGGGTGGAAGCGGTGGGTCAGCCCGATCATTAACTGCCCGGAGCACCAGCTGCCTGTAGACGGAACGGTGCTCCCACAGGGTGGGAACAGGGGAGCATCGCTGAGCAGAGAGGCACAAGGGTCATGTTGGCTCGATGGTTCTGAGTGGGGAAGGACCCCAGTGGGGACCCCATAGAGCTCTGCCCCAGCCCCCGCCTCCTGCAGCTGAGCTTTTATCCCCCCTACACCCCTTAGATAGAGCAGGCGAGGCCCGGGGTCCTGGGAGACCAGCCAGCACCACGCAGGCCGGGGTGGAGGAGGGCTGGAACTGGGACCCGTATTTCAGCTCTTGCTGGCCTCTTCCACACTCTTTCTTGAGAAAGAAGTTTGTGACTGAGGAGAAGTGTGGGCCTGGGGCGCCTCCTCTAGTGAGGCTGTGAGCGGCCGGAAGGACTGACAGAGGATGGAGTGGGTGGAAGAAAGCCACATCTCAGGTGACCAGCCGGCCCTCCGGTTGTACCTGGAAACGAATCAGTGGCTCCTCAAAAGTAAATCTGGACAATTAAGGCTAGAAATGATGCTCTGCCGGGTGTAGACTCTCCCGAGTGCACACATGTTCCCACACAAGTACACATATGCGCTCATGCACACACACGTGCGTGCGCGCGCGCGCGCACACACACACACACACACACACACACACTGCTTTTGAGCAGTTGGCTGTTCTAAACATCTCTGGGCGCATATTTGCATTATTAAGTAACTGCTCACAAATGCGTGATGGCCCTGAGGTGAGAACATGGGCTACACTTCTCGTGTTTTCAGAGCCAGGCCAGGTGTGTGAGCTTCTGGGGTCACCGGCCCGGCCTGGCGTCCCTGCCGTCACAGGCCACACCCAGCAGGACTCGGGCCCCCAGAGCATCACCCGAGGCACCAGGTCGACACTTCCCTTTAGAAACACACATGTGGTGAATACCGTACCTCCTGGCATTAGGGAAGAAGCCATCAGTAGAAAGTGTGCGTTTCTTGTGCTGCATCCTTAATGACTTGCGGGAAGTGAGAACCGCCCAGAGGTGAGAGGCCGCGGAAGGAAGGTCTGCTCTGTTCCGTGTCCATCTTTCCTCCTGCCCGTGCTAGGCTCCCAGGCAAGACCTTTTAAAAGAGGGGTGCCTCTGAGACTGAGATGGGGGTCCTGACCCCTCTGTGGCCACACAGACGACACGCCCCATTCCAGGTTCAGCCCGCAGCCCTTTGGGGGTGGTGTGTAAATTAGGGTCCACCCTCATGCCCTTTGAAGTTATACACAGAGTTCTATGCTAGAGACAGATGTGTATTTTCTGCAGAGAAAGTCTTAGCATACATCAAAATGAGAATAGGAGTCATGAATAGTTACTGTTTGGCAGGCTCTGCTCCCCCCCCACCCCGCCCCACCGCCCCCTCGTGGGCTCTCCTGGCTCCCTCACTGTTCCCCTGCTGCAGGGGGCCTCAGATTCCTCAGCCTTGAGATTTTCTCAGACTCGGGGCTCCCAGTCACTGGGACCATTCATTCTTCTCACCCATCACCTGGGCTCGTTGAACACATAAGACGCCAGCCTGCCGGGCAGCCCTGCGCGCTCTGACCCCTGACCCTTCCCCTCTTGCCACCAGGATCCTGGTCGCCAACAACCAGCTCTTCAGCAGCTCCTACGACCGGACAGCTCGAGCCTGGAGTGTGGACAAGGGGCAGGTGGCCCGGGAGTTCCGGGGCCACCGCAACTGTGTGCTGACTCTAGCCTACTCTGCCCCCCAGGACCTCCCTGGGGCTCCGTGCACGGAGGAGGCCGTGGCCAGGGGGCTCCTGGTGACGGGCAGCACGGATGGCACGGCCAAGGTCTGGCAGGTGGCCAGTGGCTGCTGCCACCAGACACTGCGGGGCCACACAGGTGCCGTGCTCTGCCTGGTGCTGGCCACACCTGGCCGCACGGCCTTCACTGGAAGCACAGATGCCACCGTCCGAGCCTGGGACATCCTGAGTGGGCAGCAGCTGCGTGTGTTCCAGGAGCACCAGGGCTCCGTCATCTGTCTGGAGGTGAGGCCGGCCTGGCTGCCAGGGAGGCCCCTGGCTCCTCCTCTGAGCTGCCGCCCCACCCAGGGTACCAGTCAGCTCAGGCTGTGGAACAAAGTACCACTGACTGGGCAGCTTAAACAGCAGAGATTGATTGGCTCACAGCTCTGGAGGCCGGAAGTCCGAGATCAAGGTGTCAGCAGGGTTGGTTTCCTCTGAGGCCTCTCCCCTCGGCTGGTAGACGGCCATTCCCCTGGTGTCCTCACACCGTCTTCCCTCTGCTTCCAGATTCCCTCTTCTCGTAAGGACACCAGTCATACTGGATGAGGTTCCGCTCTAATGCCCTCATTTTAACTGAATTACGTCCTTAAAGGCCCTATTTCCAAATACAGTCACATTCACAGATACCAGGGTTAGGGCTGTTGCCAACACATGGATTTTGGTTTCCGTCCGTGTGAAGTGAGGATTACGTCTACGCACAAACCGTGGTCCATAATTCCTAAATCCAAAAGTTGAAAAAAGGAAGGTTTTCTTAGGCTTTTGGCATCAAAACTCATTTCGATATGAGGCTGGTTGTCATTAAGTTTAATCTCACTTCCTGGGACTACGTGTACCTCTGCTGTGGAAACACGAGTGTGTTCCTCAAATCCAAAAACTCCCGAAACACAGCGGCCAAGGTTTGGATTAGGGATTACGGACGTGGAGCTGTGCCCACCCCGGGTTGTCGTGAGGATTTAGTGAGTTGACAGTGGACGCAGTGCCTGCCGCAGAGCCTGTTCTTGACGCCCGTCAGCCTGTGATACTGTTGCTATGAGGCATGCGTTGCTATGAGGATGTGTGGCCTGCACTTGGCGGGCATGTCTGCAGCATATGGTCCCTCCCTCTATCTAGATATTAGGGTCTGGATGTTCCTGGCCCGGGTCGTGGCCACAGCCCTTTTCCTTCTCCAGGCCAGTTCCCACACCTGAGGTGAGCAGGTTGGGGTGCAGTGCTCGGAGGCACCGAGCCTCTGGGGAGCCACTGATGAAGCGATGGGGGTGGCCTCAAGGTGACAGGAAGCAGTGTGTGGCAGTCCCCTGGAGAGCCAGGCCAGGAGGCCCGTTTTGGGTTCTCGAGGTGAAGGGCAGCCCTAGGGCCCCAGGACCAGTGGAGTAGAGAAGGGCTCCACTTTGCTTGGACAGAATCATCTCTGGCCCCTGGTGAACGGCAGAGGGCCCGTGTTTGGTTGGATAAACTGCATTTTTCTAGTGATGGGGGCAGGGCGGTGGATTGGTTGTTACTGAGCTAAGAGTTGGCCACCTGGTTTCTTTTTCTTTTTTTTAACTTTGATTTTTTAAAAAAATTTTTATTGGAGTAGAGTTGATTTACAATATTGTGTTAGTTTCAGGTGTGCAGCAAAGTGAATCAGTTATGCATACACATATGTCCACTCTTTTTTAGGTTCTTTTCCCATCTAGGCCATTACAGAGTCCTGAGTAGAGTTCCCTGTGCGCTACAGCAGGTCCCTAAGCCACCCGGTATCTGATCCCGGGATTTGGGGAGGCAAAGGGAGGACCGGCAGGCACCTGGGAGGCAGCACTGTGTGTGATGGGGAGAGGTGTGCAGGGGGCAGTGGGGATGCATCCTGGGCGGGGCACGGGGGGACGGGCTCTGGGTTCCTGAGGATGCGCGGGGTCTCTGGGCTCAGTCTCCTGGTACCGCCCAGGGGCAAGTCCGTCTCCCATGTTGGAGTCAGCCTGCAGGGCGTGGAGCCCAGCGTCGCACACAGCAGTGGGAGTGAATGTGCCCGGGAGCAGAGCTGGTGGGAGCCCGGGCCTCTGCAGGAGGGTACTCAGGAGACCGTGAGCAGCTCGAAGGCCAGGCCAGCTCGTAGTGTGGGATGCCACTGGGGTGGGGTGGGGAGCTCCCAGAGTGAAGTCAGTGCTGTTTCCATGAGCACACACCGGGGTCTGTCCAGGATGGGTCCCAGGTGGGGGTGGGGTGGGGGGAGGGCCCTGCTGGGCGGTGGGATGGGGTCGGGGCGGGTTGAGGGTGGGCACAGTGCAGTGTGTGGAGGCCCCTGGGGTCAGAGTTGGAAGGAGGCAGGGCCCGCGCTGTCGGCTTGGGCGGGGAGGGTCGCCGCCAGCGTCAGGAGCAGCGGGCCCCTTGTAGAGGCCGGTCCTAAAGCAGAGCCTGAAGGGACGGGCACAAAGGCAGCACACGCGCTGGCGCCGCGGCAACAGTGGCGCTTGACTCAGGAAACACGCGGTTATTTGGTGTGTTGGTTAGTTGCTTCATTCGCTGTTACGTCACAGCCTGCTTCGCCCCGCAGCGGGACTGAGGCAGAAAAGCCCCCGCTTTTCAGAGTAGTTGGGGGATAAGATTCTGCTCGATAAGGTCCAGGGCCACCATCTCCACAGTAGATGGCCTGGCGCCTTCCCGAGAAACGGAGGACCTGCCGACTCCCGGCCGTCCAGGCTTCCTTTGCTTTGATATGACGTCCCCTCAGAGGGGGCCACAAGGGCCCCTGTAGCTTGGATGCTGTATCGTCGCGTCTCCCTGCTGTGTTTCCCCGGTACAAACTCAGACCTAGGTTACCGTGACTTGGGAGACGCATGTGTGGGTGACCTTTGGGTGTGCTGGCCTTGCCCGCTTTCCAGAGTCCCTCCCTCTCCCCACCGTGGGGTTGGGGAAGACCCTTCCCCCCCCATCTGCCTCTTTAATAGGAGGGCTTCCCCACGTTCCCCCCCTGCCATCAGAAACTTGCAGGGCCACCTGCCAGTCTCGGCCCCAGCCCGTGAGACCCTGGCGACGTGGGGCCGTCCCTGGGACCCTGCTGTCACCGCTGGGCTGAGTGTGAAGCACAGCACAGAGTCGGGGGCGCCACCCCCCCGCCCCTGCTCACCTTACCTTCTCCAAATAGGTGACCCTCGGTTCACGTCTGCACGTCTGTTTCCTTCCTCTGTCCCTTTCCTGCACGTCCACATGCAGGTTGAGCCACCTAAGCCAGGGAAGGATCTCTCCTTGGGGACCTCCCAGAATTCCGACCCCCCCCCCAGCTCGGCGAGCGGTGGGCTGCCTTCCCAGACGCCCTGCAGAGGCAGGCAGGGTTCCCGGGGGTCTGGAGACCCGGGATGATTCTGTGAGCCCTGCGGCCTGGCCTCTGGCGTTGTTTAGGGAGGAAGCACTCGTGCCGGCAGGTGGAGAGTGAGGGCGTTGTCATCCGTGGTTTCCCGTTAGGCTGAGTATGAGGTGTCCGCTGGGATCCCGGGGGGCCTGTTGCATGGAGCTGCGGTGTTTACACCGTCCCTGGGAAACAGGTCAGGCCCTTTTGTGTGTTGAGATAAACTTGGGGGCCACCTTTTCAGAGGCTGGGGAGAAGAGAGGAAGCTCACAGAGCTATGCAGCCTCCTATGCCCGTCTCCGAACCATCGGCCCGTGTGGATGAGGTACCCACTGCAGCATCCTGCCTCCTCCTTGCAGGCCTGCGGCCCACTCTGAACTTTCCGGGAGCTGAGGCGAGGCCCAAGAAATCGGCCAAGCCCTGGGGGGCCTCTGCCTTTCCTCTTCACTGTGGGATGTGTATCCAGGGTCAAGCACGTGAACCCCAGAGGGTTCCAGAAGCCAGGTGAGGGCAGAGCAGGAGTGCACAGGCCTCCTACGGAGAAGGTGGGCCAGAGCAGAGGTGAGGGCTCACTTCCAAGTAACAAACTCAAGGTCAAGCCCGCTGACCACCGAGGGGGACCGCTTCTTTACCCCTGCTCTTTGGAGGGGCTCCAGGGTCTAGGCTCAACCGGGGGGGTCCTTGTGAAGAAGGAGAAAGTGGAGACTCTTTCCTGTCCCTTCATATTTTTAAATTTTTAGTTATGAAACATTTCAAACAAAGTATAGCAAACGGTAAAAGGGACACCTATGTACCCACCTTTGAAATGAGATATTAAAATAAACATTTCCAGTACAGCCAGAGAGGGACAGGAAAGGCTCTGCCAGGTGTGGGGCAGCCCAAGGGCTCGGGGCATGCACCTGCCCGTCTGCAGCATCGTCAGGCCCTCCGTTCTTTTCCTACAAAACACTGTCCTGCCAAAGCCCGAGGGGCTGGAGCAGAGATTGCTGTTGCCTTTTAGGGATACGTACCAGCTCCCGGGTTAGATCAGGCTGCGTGCATTATTGAATTTATCCTCACGGCCACCTGTAAGGGTGATGATTTTTTCTCATTTTGTACATGAGAAGACAGAGGCTCAGAGTGGGCGAACAATTTGCCCAAGGTCTCACAGCTGGTAAAGGGCAGAGACAGGATTTGAACCCAGGACTGAGCATGCAACCTGTGCTTTTAACAAGCAGCTTTCATAAGGTGTGTCTGGGCCCATACCGTGCTGGAGTTGGGGAGCCTCTTCCGACAGGAGGCTGAGTGCCCGGAGCCTGGCTGTGCTCTGCACCTGGCCCTCTGCTCACCACGTGGCCCAGCTGCTTCTTTCCCGTTGCCCTGTGCGTGGCCTGTTGTGAGTGGAGGGGAGGGCGAGGCCACACCCCTGGGGCCGCAGCAGCAGAGCCCCAGGCCTGCCCTCTGCTTGGGTGGATCACACGCAGGGAGATGGCCCATAAGCCCCGTCTCGTCCTCTCGGAGCTGCCTTGGCTGCTGGGAGGGAGTCCTGCTGGACCGGCCCTTGTGACTCGCCCAGTCAGGGTCTGTCCTGCTTTCCCCATCTGCCTTGAGCCTCTCTGGTCTCCGCGGGCTGCCCTGCTGCTCCCCGTGGGTGTCCTTTCAGGAAACCAGCCAAAGCACGCAGCGAGGCGTCCGCCCGCTTATCAGCCTCGGGGCTCAGGATCTGTGCTTTGAAAGTGTGCTGCCTTTTAAGCACGTGCGCCAGGCCCTGTGTCGTCAGGACACCCGCTATGCGCAGGAGGCGTCTTCCCTTTGTCTCGGCCGCTGTGGATGCTCAGTGCCTCCTTCACGGGGCCGGGCAGACAGAGCTGCAGAGGCCGAGTGGCCTAGATGTGCCACTGGGGTCTCCATCTCATAGGCTGCCCATACCCACTCCCCTTATTATAGGTCTGGGAGCCTCAGTGGGTAGTTTGGAGAGTGTGGTCCCTGGAGGTCTGGGGCTGCCTCTGGGAGTGACACTTGGTGGGGGGACAGTCGAAACACTGGGGGCCAGTGGCAATCGGCCTGGGGGGCAGGATGCAGACAGTGCTGGGCAGCATGAGGAGGGGTCCTGGAGGGTGGCTTTCCCCCAAAAGATGAGGGGGGATCAGCACAGAGAGGACTTGTAAAGGTATGTGCCCAAGGATCTCAGGGCACAGCGAGGACACGTGTGCACCTGGGGAAGCTGGGCCACATTCAGGCTCCAGGCACAGGGCTGACGGGGGCGCCCCGAAGGCCGAGAGCAGGTGGGGATGCCAGGCAGGTCCCCCTGCCCTTCTCGATGGTGGTGCAGACGGAGGGAGGACTGGGCGATGTTCTGCAGAAGCCCTCGGGTGTGCGGACATCGCACGCGGCCCTGTCCTCAGGGAGTGGACCAGCAGCGGGAGAGGCCAGAAGCCAGGCTCCATTGGCTGGACCAGTCGTAACCCCAGTAGGACCGGAGGGCGGGGCCTGAGAGAAGCAGGCCAGGCCTGTCGCCCACTTGGTCCGCCCTCAGCCTCTGCCTCCAAGAGGTAAACGTGTCCCTCGAGATTCCACCCCCTCTGCCGTAGCGATTGGCCCAAGGCCAAGTTTGACCTGTGTTGTGGCTGTGGGGTGGAAAGATGCACTGGGCCAGAGTCCTATTCTCCGGGATTTAAACTGGGAAGTAATAATGGGAAACTGAGTCAGCTGTGGGAATTGGAGTGGAAAGTGGCCAAGATGGGTAGGTAGTGTGAGCCCGAGCTAGGAGGACTCGGGATGAGTTAAGGATGCCCATTCCAGGGGCTTCCCTGGCGGTCCAGGGCTTAGGACTCTGCGCTTCCACTGCAGGGGGCACGGGTTCGATCCCTGGTCGGGGAACTAAGATCCCGCAAAACAAACTAGGCCCACCGCCTGCTGCCCCTGGGAGAAGGACCTCATCTTTCCTAAGCCTCCAGCGGCCCCTGGGCCCCAGCGGCGTCCTGGATGGCTGTCTCGGGGGCTTGTAGCCTGCCCTCCTCTTCCTGGGCCCTGCAAAGTGGGAGGAGGCCTGGTGCCATCAGCCAGCTAACGGCAGCTGAGTACCCCACTCCGCCAGCTTTCGGTTCTCGTCCGTGTCTCCGATAACCAGAGGTGCTGTGCTTGTCGGGAGCTCTCTGGGCTGCGTGGTGTTTGCTGTAGGGAAATTTGCAGAATTATTTCAATTGTCTCTGGGCTTCCCTCACGCTAGTACCCTGTCCCTCTTGGCAGGGGTGCTCCTGGGAGGGGGGCTTCCTCATGCCCTTCCCTTGTCTCCCAGGCCCTTTCCTAACCTCCTGCAACGCCAAGAAGGGGTGTGAATGCCACTTCAGCTGGCAGCGGCGAGCGGGAAGTGGGGGAACCTGTGTCCAGGGGCAGGGGGACAGGACCCCATGATGGCCCCTGGGTGTCCAGCTCCAGTCCCAGCAGAGGGCTACCTTACACCGCGGTCAGTCAGGTTACTTCTAGAGCTTTCTCCTATCTCCCTTCCCCAAGCAGAAGTCCAGTGTGAAAGCCCCGCCCTGGGTGCCCTTTTCTCAGCTGGAACAGTACCAGGGAACCGAAGTAGCTACAGGTGGAGTCACATTGACCTTCCCGGGGGCCAAGCTGTAGGAAACTGCTGAAGAGAGACACCTGGCAGTAGTAGCAGCAGTGCTGGCCGACGTTTTCTGGTCCTTGCTCTTAGGGTGCTGAGCGCTGTACGGTCGTGTCCGAGCAGCACGGAAGGGTCTGGCGTGATCCTTGTCTGCGGGTGAAGCCGCTGAGAGCAGAGTCACTGACTTGGCCAAGGGCCAGTCAGGATCTGAAGCCGGGTCTGCCTGAGCTACACGGCCCTGAGGGGAAGAGAGGAGCATCGTGACCTTGGGTGCTGGAGTGGGTAGTGGTGGGGGGCGACCCAGGGACAGGGGCATTTCTGGCTTGTCCACAGTGTCTCCACTGAGACCTGCACGTGCCCCTCTCCACGTTCCACAGAGAGAGGTTTGGAGGGGCTTCCGGGGTGCCCCCTACGGTCAGCGGTACCCGTGTCCGGTGCCGACCCTCCCTTCCGCCCCCCCCGCCCCCAGCTGGTGAACCGGCACGTGTACTCGGGCAGCGCCGACAGGACGGTCAAGTGCTGGCTGGCAGACACGGGCGAGCGTGTGCGCACGTTCGCGGCCCACAGACACAGCGTGAGCGCCCTCAAGTACCACGCGGGCACCTGTAAGTGACCCCGCCCTCCCCGTAGCCCCAGCCTGCCTGTCCCCTTCACGCCCCGCCCCCCAGCACATCCGCTGTCGCCCAGATCTCTCTGCACTCTTCCCTCTTTGAGCCTCAGCTGCCACTCCGTTTGGTCAGCGGCCAAGGGCGGTGGCTGTGGCCCCTCAGTGCACGTGTTTGTTCCTCCAGCAAAAGAAGTTCCAAATAAGGGTGTAGGGGCTCCTTCCCACCTTCACCCCGCTAGGACGTGCAGCGACCTGCTTGTTCAGAGGACCTCAGGTCAAGAGCAGGTCTCAAGGACACATTCTAATTCTCGAGACAGTGACACCACTTAACTCCAGTCAGACTTGAGGGCCACATGGGTTTGGCTTCACTCGGCATTAGGTTTGACTACAGATAAGAGAAAGTCCAGATGACGGATTTATATGAGATAGTGGTTTATTTTTCTCTGAGGTAGAAGAATTTCAGAGGCTGGCGGTCTAGGCTGGAATGGATGGCTCCACAAAGTTGTTAGACACCCAGGTTCATTTTTTCACTTCACTTCATCATCCTTAGCATGTATCGGCCATCTTTAAGGGGGGGGCCTCATGGTTCAAGATAGCTGCTGGAGCTCCAGCCATCATACGTTTTAGGCAGGCAGGAAGAAGAGGAGGGAAGGGCAAAAGGTTGTGTCTCCTAGATGAGTAGGCCCCTTTAAAGATCCTTCCTGGAGACTCCACCCAAAGACTTCTGCATACATCTCTCTGACCACTGCCTGCAAAAGAGACAGAATAATAAAAGCCCTTATCTGGGGATACTGCCACCAGGATTAATCAGGGTTATTTTGGAAAGAAAGAAGGGCAGTGTGGCTTACTGGGTAGTCAGCAAGCTCTCTGCCCCATAGGTCTCAAACTGTCACACATCTGGGCTTTCCTGGCTCTGTCCAGCTAGCCAGTTGTTTACACCCCAGACACATGCAGAAGACAGGCACTGTTCTGGGGAAGCAAAACCCACAACCTCACCACACCTACATGGGAGTGGGGCTCCCAGGTTCCTGGACATCTCTTTCCTAAAACGATCCCCAATGTTATATTTTGCCATCAGCGTCCTCTCTCTCTCTCTCTCTCTCTCTCTCTCTCTCTCTCACACACACACACACACACACACACACACACACACACCTGCAGCAGGAAGCCAGCCCCCCTAGGTGAAGCTGAGCCTGAGAACCATCTTCCTAGCACAGCAGTGAGGGAGCAGACTGGGGTGGGGGAGGAGCCACAGTGGAAAATTCAAGTTGACTTCACAGCACAGGTGTTAGATGAAGATAGAATGGATTTCCGAAAATAGAGCATGAGGTGCCCTCAGGATTTAGGTGTCTGACGCAGAAAAATGATTTTTTTCCTGTTCCTGTGTCCAAGCCTGTAAGTGTGATTATGGCTCTGCTCCTGTTGGGGACCTCTAATTTAAAGAGAAGAACGTTGCCCAGAGCGCCTCCCCGTGGCAGAGGCTGGGATGAAACCTGCCGCTGCAGCAAATCCCACAGACCCTACCTGCTGCCCGCTGTTAAGGAACTTGGTCCTTGGTCTTTGCCAACAGGCTACAGGATGATCAGACCTAATTCTGGACCCTCTTCCCACCCTCAGGATGCCCAGTAACCACAGTGCATTGGTGGAGGGGAAGGCAGGAAAGGAGCTGAAGAGAACGAGAAATGAAACTTTCCCTCCAAGTCCACATTCACTAGTAGCTTTAGCAGCAAACCTGGGACTAGGCAGGTGACACAGGAAATGGGATAAGGAATAGACACCCCAAGGACAGGGAGCCCCCAGGGGGTGCTTACGGTGGCTCACTCACGCTGCTGGGTGGCTGTAGCAGACGCTATGGGTACCACGCTCAGGGGCACTTCCTGCTGTAGCACCTGAGGTCCTCTGCCCGAGGGTGTTTTCCTGTGAGGCAGGTCATGGGAGGGCTGGGCGTTGACGGATAAGTAGCCCAGTGTCCTTGTCCCTGGGTGGAACAACTCTGAGACGCGGTCCGCCCCTGCTCCCTTAAACACCTGCATGGGAGTCCTTCCTTCCTGTTTCTCTCCCCACTTCCTGCAATGCGCTGCCAGATGAACTGTTTGCACTCGAAACCTAGCGTCAGGGTCAGCTTCTGGGAGAACCCGGGCTAAGATGGTAAGTGGACCAGGGAGTTTCTCTGGCCAGTGCCGTCAGTGTGGTCCCTGACCAGCAGTATCAGCATTACTTGGAATTGGCTAGACATGCAGGTTCTCAGGCCCCGCCCCAGACCTCCTTAAATCAGAAACTCAGGTGGGCCCAGCCTGCCCTTGGGAGTTTGAGAACTCTTGGACTAAGTTATAATGTAGGAAAAAGCCTAAGGGAGGCAGAATCGGGAGGTTCCCCCTGGGAGAGGTTGGGCAGGGGCCCTCTAGTGAACCCCGGAGGCGCTGGGTTGTGTTTGGAGGGCCAAGTTCATTACTGAGGAGGGGAAGGAATGAGTTTCTGGTTGGTCCTTGCCCCAAGAGGCTGCTCAGACGGTGGGGGGAGGGGAGGGATGACCCCCCGAGGCAGGGGCTTCAGAGCTGCTAGAAACACCTGGCAGGGAAGCTAAGCTTCACCAAAGGTTTCCACCAAATGGCCTGAGAGTAGGAAGCTGGGCCCAGGTGGTACTCGGGAGGGGTGGAAGCACCTGGAAGGACTTGGCAGGCTGACCTGAAGCCCAAGGGCGGTGGGGCAGCCGAAGTCCTGCAGAGCCGGCTGCAGCCCACAGAGGGCGCCTCCGGGACCCTGGGCGTCACCCTGAACTCACAGGAAAGTACTGAGATAGGGAAGGTGCCGCCTCCTTCCTTTCAAGGGGCTTCTGCTGTTTCCCATTTGCAATTATGACATCCCTGGGAGGCGAGCGGATGGGTCCCGGAGAGGGTTCCCGGCACTCTCCCTGCCCTGTCCATCCACGCCCCCCGCCCTGCGGAGTCCCGAGGGGACGAGGGCTCTCGGGCGGGAGGCAAGTTGCGCCGTGTGTTCACAGTGTTCACGGGGAGCGGGGACGCCCGCGCGCGCGCCTTCGACGCCCAGTCTGGAGCGCTGCGGAGGGTATTCCGCGGCCACGCCTTCATCATCAACTGCATCCAGGTAGGCGCTCCAGCTCTCTCCGGGGGCCCGGGGCTGGTTGGCTGAGCGAGGGCGAGCCCGCCTGCGCTTCTGCCTCGGAGGGGAAGTGGGGAGGGGGCGGCCAGGCAGCAGCGCTCCCCCGCGGGCAGAGCCTCCCCGGGGCCGAGGCCCCCTGGGCTGAGCCTTCCCCATCAGGCGGCCTGGGCGTTCGCGGCTCACGCCGAGGCCCGGGCCGCCGCTGGCCCGAGGCAGGGCGGGGCCTGCACCTACGTGACTCCGTAGCTGCGGGGAGGCGCGGAGTTGGGGGCCGGTGGCGCACCCCCTCCAGCGCCGCCCACGCCCCGCGCCCGCAGGTGCACGGCCAGGTGCTCTACACGGCCTCGCACGACGGCGCGCTGCGCCTCTGGGACGTGCGCGGCCTCCCGCGCGCCCCGCCGCTGCGTCCCGCCGCCCCCAAGCGCAGCCTCTCGCGCCTCTTCAGCAACAAAGTGGGCTGCGCCGCCGCCGCTCCCCTGCAGCCGGCCTGAGACGCCCCGACCGGCCGCCCACGGACCCGCGGAGGGAACGCGGCTGTCGGCACCGGGGGCTCCGAGGGCAAGGACCGGGGCGGCGGTGGTGCCTGTCCTCCGCGTCCGTTGACTTCCGAAGCCCTCGCCAGGCCGCCCGTGGGAAGTCCATGCCTGCTCGCCACCGCGTCCCCAGCCCGCCTCTCGGTCCCCACCCCCTTCGGCCAGAGGCCCTGCGGAGCCCAGCCCTCAGCCTGCTCTCCGGCCCTCCTGGGACCCTCCCGACTCTCAGGGTGTCCAGCCCCACGGTCCCGGCGCCCGAGGTCCTCCGAGGCCAAGCCTTTCCTGCGGAGCGAAGCGGACGCTTCAGAAAGCCACAGACCAGGCCTTCCTGGCGGTCCAGTGGTTAGGGCTCCGCGCTGTCACTGTCGAGGGCCCGGGTTCGATCCCTGGTCGGGGAACTAAGATCCCACAAGCCGCGCGGCGCGGCCAAAGAAAAAAAGCCGCAGACTGTCGTTATTTTGGCAAATTGTCCATTTGTGAAGAACCAAAATACAGGTCCTTAACAGTGCTCTGCAACACGTCGTCTTTTGTTCTGCCCACGGTGTCCCAGCCCCATCTCAGAGGGAGAAGAGGTGCCGGGAAGCAGGGGTCTCACACTCGCCTGGGCCTGGCCCCCTGGGGTGAAATGAGGGGCTGTGGCCTCACAGCCCCTCCAGTGTCACAGCAGCGCCACTGGAGTGGGGAGTGGCATGGGAGAGGCCAGGGAGCAAGGAACCGGCTCCTCAGCTGCCTGGGTGACAGCGGGGACCCACTGCTGCTCCCGCCGGAATCGAGGAGGCTCTTTCTCTCAGGTGTGGAGCAGAAGGGCTCCCGCACAGGGGCCAGCTCCGCGCCCCGCGTGGTGAAGGCCCTGGAGGTGTACACAGGAGGCAGCTGGAGTACCTGCCCGGAGGGGATGAAGGGGGAAGTGGGGCTCAGACCCTAAGAGGCCCTGAGGGGAGCCGCCCCCAGCAGCCCCTCTTACACCGGGAGGGGCCCACGTTCCGCACCCACAGGGCCCTCCATGCCAGGCCCTGGCTGGCTCCCCGCCCCGTGCAGGAAGAGGAAACGCTGCAGAGGGCAGTGTCTGCACTTGAGAGCTCAGCGTCTAGCCAAGGACAAGCCTCCCCGGGCAGAGGCAGACCTTGATGCAGAGGTGGGTGCGCCAGTGTCTTCACGCAAGATGCGCGGCAGGACGGGCTTCACCTGCTCGCTGGGGTGCCGAGGTCCATGCCTGATGGGTGGATCCCACCCCCTTGGGAACAGGTACAGGGTATTGCCACCAGGGGCGGTAGAAAGGGTTGCATACCTCTGTGATGGGCTCTAGGCCCGACCCCCAAACGCTGGGAACTCGGGGGCCTCGCCAGGAAAACAGCCTGGCTGGTGAGAAGAACCCGCAGAAGCGGCATCACCCAGCTTTCTTTGGGTGGGGCTCAGCACAGAGTACAGGTGAGGGGTTCCACGTGCGCGGCCTGTCGTGCCTGGGAGCGCTCACTTCCTAGCGGTTCTTCTTCTCCAGGGCTCGAGGCTGCGGTTACAACGGCAGGCCTACCCCGAGGGGCTTTCGGGGGAGCTGAAGTGCACTTCAGGGAGGGCAGGCAGAGAGAACCACCTTGAGTACCTGCGCCGATTCAGTCACCTTCTCAGTCGGCTGTGCTGACAGAGGCAGTCCGAGTAACCAGACTCTCTCGCTCCTTGGTGCCACAGCTCTCGCTAGCAGGGCAGGCAGCTTATCCAGCCACTGGGGGCAGATCCTAAAATGGCTGCTGCATTCGTTTTCTCCAGCCTGCCTCTCCCAGAGAAAGAGTAAGAAGTGAAAAACCGCTAATTTGCATTTATATAGCGTGACATATTTGGGTAAATTTTATTTCAGTAATTTTCTTGTCTGCTATCTTTGGTTTTGGCATCAGGATGATGGTGGCCTCATAGGATGAGTTTGGAAGTGTTCCTTTCTCTGCAGTGTTTTGGAAGAGTTTCAGAAGGCTAGGTGTTAGCTCTTCTCTAAATGTTTGGTAGAATTTGCCTGTGAGGCCATCTGGTCCTGGACTTTGGTTTGTTGGCAGTTTTTAAAATCACAGATTCAATTTCAGAACTTGTAATTGGTCTGTTCATATTTTCCATTTCTTCCTGGTTCAGTCTTGGGAGATTGTACCTTTCTAAGAATTTGTCCATTTCTTCTAGGTTGTCCATTTTATGGCTGTATAGTTGCTTGTGGCAGTCTCTTATGGTTCTTTGTATTTCTGCAGCTTTTCCTTTTTCATTTCTAATTTTACTGATTTGGGCCCTCTCCCTTTTTTTCTTGATGAATCTGGCTAAAGTTGTATCAATTTTGTTGGGTAATTTTTATTCCAGTAACACAGAGGGCTTTGCTAGATGTTGAGGATATAAAGACCAGATAACCACAAGATGTTTCTTTGCCTTTGATGATACAGTCTTGCCTCTGATAAATACCTTCAGTTGGGTAGGGGAAGGACAGGAAGTACTTATAGGACATATGGGCAGGAAAACAAGGACAGGACATGGCAGTGTCACCAGAGTCAAGAGCAGACAGAAATTCATAAAAGTGATGGGCATCAGATCTGACCGAGTGCAGCACGTTCTCACCACAGCCTCCCGTCGTTGACCCCATCGGCCTCACAGGCCTGTGCGTGCCATTCCTGCTCAGAGGCCTCTCACGGCCCTGGTATTCACCACTCAAGTCTAGACCGCCGCCTGCCTTTCAGGGTGCTTTGTAGTTGTACTCAGCAATCCTTCCAGCCTTGATCTCTTCCCCCAGCACACCCTCTCTGGTGGGTCTAGAACAGCCCCTGCGACCCCATGAATGTGGCACACTCAGCTCCTATATCATTTGTCCCAGGTCTGGAATGTCCTTTCCCTCTGACTCTCCAAGGAGAACCCCCCCCAAACCCATCTCCCCTGTGACTTCAGGCTCAGCACACTCCCTCCTGTGTAACAGCATTTTCATCACAAATGTCCTTTGCTCCTTCTCTTGCATTCCAGAGCAGGGAGTGACACTCAGTCGCCACCTGTCAAGTTTCATACAACCAGCTAGAGGCAGAGCCAGGACGGAAGCCCGTCTCCCAGTGCGTGGGGAGGGTATAGCCCGCACTGTCCCAAGCTCAAGAACTGGCTTCTCTGTGCCTCTTCATAGGAAAATGGAGCACTAGACCTGCTAGTGTGGCTTGAATGCCCTAGCCTTTTCCAAGATCATTAGGAAGCACTTTGGGAAGCTAGAAGCCACACCTGGCCCAAGCCCAGGGCAGTAACTTGTTAGCCAGAAGCTGCAACCTAGGCCCCCAATCCAAGTCTGACATGGTCTCAAATGAGGCTAGAAACCCCTCATCGCCTCGGCCCTCGGCCGCTTCCAACGCTGAGGAAGCAAACCCCGCCTCCCCGACTCAGTCTCCCCTCCCCCACAGGCCCAGAGCCTTTGTACACTTCATCTTTTAACAACAGACATCGATGGTGCTTTTGAGGGCATACATTTGACTTCCTCACAGAAGTCAACGGAAGCAAACGTCTCGAACTAAATGAAGCTCTAGACCACCCAGACATTTTCAACACTCACAACAGTTTAGGAGTTTGAGTAACTCATTGCAAAGTTAGGCTGACAATTTTTGAATATATTTTCCACCTTTTATTTCCATCTGTATCATCCATTTTAAAAGAATGACAAGAAAAGATTTCCACCCATTCTAACTGGACTGCTCTCCAAGCTTTATTGAAAATGATTCCCGAAAAAGCTGGAGCATTTCGGCCAGCCCCTTGACGGCAACCACGTGGCCCACCTGCCCTGTCACAGGGGCTTCCGGTGACTCCCGGAGGCAGGGAGAGCCTTGGGAACACACCTGGCCCTTGATTTATCCAGCAGCCGGCTGCTGCCGGCTGCGTCCTGGCGCTGGACAGGCTTTCATGTAATACACGTTTACGGAGGGATGCAGGGTGCAATGAGAATGGTTATCTGAGCTGTTAGGAGGCTAACAACATACCTTTAGAAACAGTCTTCTGTAATATACCCAAGAAACCCTACAAAGACTTGGAGAAAATATACCTTAATTTCTGACAGGTATCTTACCTTAGCCAGCAGTGAATTTAATAGGACAGAAATGCCTCTAAAAATGCTAATTAAAAATAAGTTGCTTTGGTTAGCATTTAAGACTTTACCATTTAATAAAAGATTTTATTTTTGTAAAGAAGAACTTTGAATACATATATATTCTGAATTTCAGCCTGGAATTTCAAGTGCCTACTTTACTAAGCTAAGCACAAAGCACGGACGTTTCAGGCTGAGGGCGTCTGCCACCATTTGTGTGGCCGTGGGGGCCGATGCCTCATCGTCAGGCCCCCCAGAGCACTTAAAGTGGCTGAGGATCTAAAGGACATTTTCGGGACGGGGCAGAGAGGCTGAAGCAGGAAGGCAGAGCTGCATCACGGGAAGGAGGAGACAATCGAGCAGTGGGCTCAGGAGGGCAGGAGAGCAGGGCAGGATGAAGAGGAGGAGACAGGGCCCGCTTTCGCTCCCATGAGCTCCTCCTGGATCCCTTCCCTAGCAGCCACCCTATCCCAGTCCTTCCCATTTCTGGGTGGGGAAAAAACGGAGCAGGGAGGCTGGCATTAGGGTTGCGGAACCTGAAGGCAGCTGGGAACTGCAAGATCAGGCCAGAGGCAGCTCAGTTCCCAAGACGGACCCTGGGGACCGGCACCCCACCCCCCCGCCGGACCCCACCAAGTCTCTTACTCTTTACATCCCTGTTCCCCGCCTACCCCTCCCGCCCCCAGGTAGGAAGCACTCTGGAGCAAAATCAGATAAAGCGTAAGAAAAAGAAAAGACCTGCATTACACTCTTCACAATGATAGAATTTATGAGCAGAAACTTAGTGCTCACTTCTGTTCATCACTTAGTTTCTCTTTGTTGCTGTCTTTATACTTTCTACATAGGATAAGTACTCTGCAATAATAATTTCTTCGTCTTCCAGAGTTGAGTCAAGGTAATCTTCTTCATGTTCTGGAATATCTTCCAGGATTTCATTCACAGCCTCTGTCTCCATATCTTCATCTGTTGAGGCGCTAGAGGTCCCTGCAGTAAAGAAGTGCA